CAGGGTGAAGCGGCCGTCGGGTTCTCCGCCTGTCTTCAAGGCGCGTTACGTGGCTCGAGGCTTCAGTCAGCGAGAGGGAGTTGACTTCTTCCAGACCTTCTCCCCCACCCCGAAGATGACTACTCTTCGGGTGCTGCTACACATAGCCGCTCACCGCGACTACGAGCTTCACTCACTTGACTTCAGCACTGCTTTCTTGCAGGGCAGCCTGCACGAGGAGATCTGGCTGCGCCGCCCACCTGGCTTCACTGGGTCGTTTCCTCCTGGTACCCAGTGGAGGCTTCAGCGGCCGGTCTACGGTCTCCGCCAGGCTCCGCGTGAGTGGCACGACACACTGAGGACTACACTTGCGGCTCTTGGGTTCGCGCCTTCTACAGCTGACCCGTCGCTGTTCCTGCGCACCGACACTTCGCTGCCGCCGTTCTACATCCTCGTGTACGTCGACGACTTGGTCTTTGCCACTGCTGACACTGCAGGACTCGCCTACGTGAAGTTGGAGCTGCAGAGGAGACACACGTGCACAGACCTGGGTGAGCTGACAAGCTATCTTGGCTTGCGGATCACCCGGGACAGAGCACGGCGCACCATCACCCTGACTCAGTCACACATGGTGCAGCAGGTTCTCCAGCGCTTCCGCTTCACGTACTCCTCGCCTCAGTCCACTCCTCTGCCTACCGGTCACTCGCTCTCAGCTCTGCCTTCGGATGAGTCCGTAGAGCCGAGTGGCCCGTATCCAGAGCTTGTGGGCTGCCTCATGTACCTGATGACCTGCACTCGACCTGACCTTGCATACCCTCTTAGCATCCTTGCACGCTATGTCGCTCCTGGCCGTCACAGGAAGGAGCACATGGATGCCGCTAAGAGGGTGTTGCGCTACTTGTGCAGTGCGTCGGGCATGGGGCTTGTCCTTGGAGGGCGAGACCGAGTTGTTCTCACAGGGCACTCAGACGCTTCTTGGGCAGACGACCAGGCCACTCAGCGGTCGTCTCAGAGTTACACCTTCAGCCTTGGCTCTGGCTCAGTTTCTTGGCGCTCTACGCGCTCTTCTTCTGTTCTCGGCTCCAGTTGTGAGGCTGAGATCTACGCTACAGCCATGGCTGCCCAGGAGCTACGCTGGCTGACCTACCTGCTGACCGACCTCGGAGAGCGGCCTCGTTCTCCTCCAGTGCTGTACGTCGACAACAAGGCTGCCATTGCCTTGTGTGAGGAGCACAGACTGGAGCACAGAACGAAGCACATCGCCCTGCGGTACTTCCTTGCTCGAGAGTTGCAGCAGCGTGGTCAGCTTTGTATTCGCTACGTGGCCACTGAGGCCAACACTGCTGATGTGTTCACCAAGGCGCTTCAGCCTCGTGACCATCAGCGCTTCTGCACTCTGCTAGGCCTTGTGCCTACTGGACCTCACTTGCTTACCTCGTGACTTTGCTTGTACTGTGATCACTATATATATATATATATATATATATATATATATATATATATATATATATATATATATATATATATATATATATATATATATATATATATATATATATACCTGCATGTTTACTCTTGCTAGGTTGTGATCACTGTATCTCTTGCTCTGTTATAAACCTGCATGTGAACTGGTCTTGTGACCACTAGCTTGTGCTCGGAATTTGTGTGGAATCCTCGAGATCCACCCTGAGCTTGTTGTTGCCTTGCTTTGCTTTGACTGGTCTTGTGACCCCTAGGTCTCCCCCACTTTGCCTATGGGGGTGTGTCAAACATTATATATGTTGTTGTTGTTTAGGCTACAGTGGGTTAGCCTATATGGGGTACACTATTCTAGGGTTTGCATTTTGTACTGCCTTCCCTGTTAGTTCAGCCATTCCTGTCTGTTAACTCCGACACTTCCCATGTTGAAATTGTAGCGTGGCAGCTCTGCCACCAAGTAGCAGCAGCTCCCCGCAGCATCATGCCGGCGTGCCGAGCCCACTCCGCCCGGTTGACATGACAAAGGGAGAGGTATTCCTCCACTTGGAAAAGCCACCGTCGCACCGGTAAGTGACGTTTTCCAGGGATGAACGGTTCAGGTTCGGGTGCCTTCGGTCGTGCAGAAACCACAGCAGGTGCTGGCGCCGGCACCTGTGTGCCCAGGAGTCCACGTTCCTGGAGTTCGCCGAGAATCCGGTCACGCACCTCGCGTTCAATCTCTCGGCGCATATTAGCAACAAACTCGTTCCAGAGTTCCGGCGTCATATCCGACGGCCCAGCCATAGGGTCTAGAATATGGCAGGAGCGTGCGAAATAACAAACCAGGCTCTGATTACCAGTGAAACGTTGCTGGCAGGGAGATAGTAGCCTTAGTAGGCTTGGAGAATGAGTATAGAGTGCTCTCTGGAATTTTCTGGAAATTGCATTATGACTTCACAAATTTCAGAGTACAATTTTATAGAGCACATTCAAACATCGAGTCGCACTCCCAAGTCGCGACTTTCTCTGAATTTCTCAATGGTAACCCAACCCTTTGAAATGAACCTGCCGTGAAATTCAGAGAATTATTGCGGTACGGGATTGGCCGGCGAGCTTGGTTACGGGGCTGTAATTTCGTCGGTGTTGTTGGCGAAGTCGGCGAGCGGTCGGAACTTTGGTGTCCTGCGTTTCGTAATTTTCGTGCGTGGGATTGACTTGGGCTGCGTGTCGGAATCTGGTCGCCCAGCTGCAGGTTGAGGCGTTTGACCAATCCGAACTGTAGGTGAGGTGGCGCTTGACTTCCGCCCACCTGCACTGTTCTTGGAAGTGTGTTGCTGCACTGTTACGAGTGACTTCCGCCCACCTGCATTGCAGTTGGCAGCATTCGGCTGCTGCACTGTTACATTACTTCCCCCTCCAAGTGGCGTCGTCCACGGCGCCAAACCATGGCTGGTCAAGTAACGGTTCACGGCAGTTGCAGCACGGTCAAGGTGGCTCTCAGGTTCCCATGAGTCCTCACTAGCAGGCTGATCCTTCCAATGAACAAGAAACTCACGACCATGAGGTGTGTCGCGGTGAGCAGTGATAGATGCAACCTCAAACAGGCCGGGGCTGCCTTCGAACATCGGTGGCAGGTGGCGTGTGGCTGGACGGTCGTGTGAAGGTGCACAATAAGGGCGGAGGCGCTGGACATGGAAGACGGGGTGAATCTTCATATAGCTGGGCAGTTGGAGCCGGTAGTTGACTGGTGAGAGGACTCGGGTGATAGTGAACGGGCCAATGAAGCGAGGGGCGAGTTTTCTGGTTGTGCCTTTGCGTAGGAGAGGTAAGTGGTCCGTGGAGAGAAGCACTTGATCGCCAACCTTGAAGCGGATATCTTTGCGGTGGGAGTTGGCATAGTGGGTCTGTTTGGCTTGTGCTTTAAGGATGGAGGTGCGAGCGGCATCAATGGCTGATTCGAGTGAGGTGAGGAACTCAAAGGCTGCTGGTGCGTGGGAGAGGTGGGAGGGTGGGGTCGTTGGGAGGCGTGGGTGCTGTCCGGTTGCGAGGTAGAAGGGTGGCTGGCCGGTGGAAAGATGGGGTGTGCTGTTGTATGCGAGTTCGATGGCGGTGAGGTGGAGGTCCCAATCGGTTTGGCGAGCGTTAACTTGTGCACGAAGGGCGTCTTCAAGCGTGCGGTTCATCCGTTCAGTTTGTCCGTCCGTTTCAGGGTGATATGCGGTAGAAAATTTCAGCCGGGTGCCGTGAAGCTTAAAGAGGCTTTGCCAAAAGTTGCTCAAGAAGCGAGGGTCACGGTCTGAAATGATGGCGGATGGGAGGCCGTGTAAACGGACTATGTGATCGAAGAAAATCCGGGCTGTTTCGGGTGCGGTGACGGTTGTGTGCGTGGGGATGAAATGGCTCATTTTGGAGAGTCGGTCAACGACGACTAGGATGGCGTTGTAGTTGCGGGGTGTGCGGGGCAGGTCCATGATAAAGTCCATGGTGACTTCATCCCACACCTTGGTAGGTGGAGGGATAGGTTGAAGGAGTCCGTAGCGGTTGGTGGTGCGTGCTTTGAGTTGTTGACAGGTTCGGCATGTGCGTATGAAGTCACGCACATCAGCGTGCATGCGTGGCCAATGGTAGTCGTTGGAAAGGCGTGCGTAGGTCTTCTCAACACCAAAGTGGCTGCCGGTGTCGTGGTATTCGGAAAGTAGCAGCTGCCGTAAGGAGCGATCAGCAGGGACACAAATGGTCTTTGTAACGGCGTTGTACCAAAATGGGTCTTCAAATGAGTAGGCCGGGCCCTCGGGTGCTTGCTTGACAAAAAACAGGTCACGTTTGTAGGCGCGCTGAAACTTTGTGATGAAGGTATCATCCCATGTGATGCTGCTGGTTCCATGGAGTTGCAAGGGTGGGTTGGGAGTTTTAGGTGGAGGAGATGAGGTGGGGCTGGTTGGGGAGTGTTGGGGCTGGTTGGTGGGTGGGTGGGGCTGGTTGGTGGCTGGTGGGGCTGGTGGTGGTGGCCGGGACAAGATGTCGGCTGGATTGAGCTTCCCGGGGTGGTAGATGATCTGAAGCGATGGGACAAACTGCTCCAAGAACTCAACCCATCGGGCTTGGCGGCGGCTGAGCACGGGCTGCGTTTTCAAGTGTTGAGGTGGGCGATGGTCGGTGTAGACGGTGACGGGCTGCAGCTCCACGTAGCAGCGCCATGTCTTGATTGCATGGACAATGGCAAGGAGCTCCTCTTTTCAAGATGTGTGAAAATATTTCGAAGTACTTTAAAAAAATTCCCATTTATAAGTTTATAAGACACCCAAAACCACCCCAAATACAAGATAACCCAAGCCTTTTTTTTAGTGTACAAGATAAGACATATATGTCTTATATCCGGGCGATGACGGTACGTCGCGTGACACGGTCGCATGGTACATTTCTTTTGGTGCCTTGCTTGAAAGTGATAGAATGCTCTTCTCTTCCAATCTTGAATCCGGGGGCGCGTACCTTTTCCAAGTTTCAACGACCACCAGTTTTTTATTCACTATGGCACTTGCCAGGCGTGGATGATTCAATTCAATTCAACCCATCTGCCGGACAAGGTCCAGCTGTTCGTCCAGTGGAACAGCCACCTGAGCCTGCTGCCAGCGCACCTCGTCATCCACCCTGTGCGCAGCTTTGTTCACGCCCGCGCCAAAGCATTCCTCACGGATGCCTATGAGCTCGCTGCACACTTGCCACATGTTGGGGCGGCTAGCAGTTTCCTCAAGCGTGCAGTGAACGGCCAGGCGCACAACGCGCAGCAGGATGTCGTCGGGCACGGGCGGGTGCAGGTTGGCATCCCTGAGGCACGACAGATCATTGGTCTCCAGCGCCTTCTTGGCCTGGCGTGGCGGAGGGAGGAAGATGGACGGCAGGGAGGTTGAGGACAAGACAAAGTTGGGCGGGCAGGAATGAGATGGATGCAGCGAAGCATGAAAGCCACCACGGTGGTCCTGCAGCGACCACCTTCACCCCACAGTGCCACTATAATGACACAAGCCGCCTTGCATGATCCTACACACCTAGAGGCCATCGGTAGGGATCACGGTGTACTATAGTACAGATGGGAGTCATGCAAGGTGTCCCTCACCCAGTTTATGATGTTACTGTCGTTCAGGACTGTGTCGGACGGCAATAGCCTCCCAGCGATGACCTCCAGAATCACAATCCCAAAGCTGCCACCACAGTGCACACACACAACGAGTGGATCATGCAACCGAATAGTGGAGGAAGGAGTGCATGCAACATTCAGCTGGATAAGTTGCACCTCACGTGGGTGCGTCTACTCGGCACCCATTCCAAGCGTGCACACGGACACCAGCACACGTGCACAGCTGTAATCAGCACCTGTACACGTCCGACGCAGTGGTGACCTTGTTGGTGCGAGTGTAAGCCGGGTCCACGCGGCCCGGCGTGCCCTGAATGCGCGTGGAGTGCACGGCGGTGCCCTCGCTGACGCGCACGAGCCCAAAGTCCGCCACCTTGGCGTGCATGTGCTCGTCCAGCAGGATGTTGGCGGGCTTGATGTCGCGGTGCATGATGCCGAAGCTGTGCAGGTATTCCACCCCACGCGCCGCGCCGATCAGCACATCCAAGCGCTGCGCCAGGGTGAGCGTTGTGGCGGGGTCCTTGCGGAGCCAGCGCTCGAGGCTGCCGTTGGGCATGAGGCGGTAGATGAGGATCTGCTCCGTCCACCTGGTGGCCTGCACGTGCTCCACACAGTGGCCCAGCAGCTGCACCAGGTTGCTGTGGCTCTTGGACGCCATCACCTCCACCTGCCATGCCGTGCACGTCATGATGAGATGCCATGCCACATGCAGAGGGCAGTCCACGTGGACGGAGAGGGTGGCGGGCGGAGGGATGGGTGGGGGGAGCGGGGTGGGCGGGGGGGGATGGGGAGGGGGAGAGAGAGAGAGATCGAGATGAGAACGACTTGTGCCTGAGGTCCAAGGCTGGCACAAACAGTCTTAGTGCATTGGGCCTTGAGAGGTGACGGCTTGTTACAACTCATCAAAAAGGCCATCGTAGCCATCAGCTGATGCATGCGCCATGCACGCCCCATTGTTAACCCCGATGCAATGCGCAGTCAAAAGGGAGGGTGCACATTCCTCTCGGTTGGGCCTAGGTTTATCACTTGCTCAACCTCTTCGCCAACGCGAAAATGATGTCGCACACTTTCGCGCGGGCTTTTTAATCTATGTTGGAATATATGCGTTTAGTGTATATACGCGTATCGTATATACGCTATCGTGTATACGCTATACGCTCAGGGGTCAGTTTGGACATACGCTTTTTCGGGCAGGGGAAAAAAATTCCCGGGCAGGGTGAAAAAACCGTCGTGCTCAACATCGGGAAGATATTCCTTATTCTAACGAAGTTTTTTCGTAGCATTTTCCTAAATCTGAACGGCGATTGGGGTGGGATGTGTAGTAAACATCTTCGCTAGGAGGAGCAGGAATCGGAATGACCTCTGCTGGAAGCAGGAAAGAAACCTAGAAATGACGAGTGAAGTTTGGCTGGCTGGTGAGTAGCGTGAGTGGGGTTTGTTGGGGGGAAAAATTGACAGATTGGAGTTCTTAGATGGGAAGGGTTTCAATGCGGTACTAATTGAAATTGTAGATCTGAACTGCCAGACGTGACTGAACTTTGAAGGCAGATTCCCGCTTCCCTAGAGCACCGAAATGCATCGCGACTTCGGCGAAATGCTCACCAGGAGATTCCGCATCTTTCCGTATACACAATTTTTTTTCCCTCGGGCAGCCCAAAAAAATTCTGACTGCGTATAGCGTATGAGTAAGCGTATAGCGTTTTGAGTATAAACGCAAGCGTGTAAACGCTAGACGCTTTAGGGTCTGAGCGTATATTCCAACATAGTTTTTAATATTCTGTAAACCTCAACGATTTTCGCCCAAAGCAGCCACATTGGATGTGCACTCTGGCTTTGAATCTTTCTTGTTTCTCAACCAAGGGTAATACGCTTGAACCAGGTTGGTTTGGTGCAGTGCAGCTACGATTGGGTGCAGTCTCAACAGTATGGTAGTGGTAGGTAGGTGCCCAACTACCAATCAGCATTAGCGAGGGACAAGCCATGATGTGCGGCAAGGGTTGTAAACACAGGAGAAGGGGGATCGAAGCCGTGACTCACGCGAATTAGGGGAGGTGGAGAAACATGAAACACATTCAAGCTTGCAAGAAGACACGTCAAAGGGTATTAAGATGAGCACTTTAGAGTCTAGCGAACGACTTCTTAGGAACTATGTTCACGACCCCAATTACGCAAGGACGGAAAACGTAGGAACGGTGGGAAACGGGTAGGAACGGGGCGGAAAGGGAAGGGAAATACGGGAAAGGGAGGGACGGGACGGGACGGGACGGGACGGGACGGGAAGGGCAGGCATAAGAGGGAATGGGCAGGAAGGAAGTGATGGAACATGACGGGATGGGAAGGGACGGACGCGACGGGAAGGGACGGAAAAGAGAGGGGCGGGACAGGGCGGGTAGGGGCGAGACGCATAAGAAAGGAGGGGAAGGGGCGGGAAAGAAAGTCGTGGATGTGATGAGATGGACGGGACGGGAAGGGATGGGATTGGATGGGACGAGACTGGAACGGAAGGGGCACAAAAGGGAGGGACGGGAAAGGCCCGGAGACGAGTGGTGTGCAGAAGAGAGAGTGGAGAAGTGCTTGTGAGGGAATGGTAGTGACGGGTGAAGGGTTTTGAAGTGGGAGGAGGCCCAACCTTTCCCTTCCCGCATCCCCTTTCCCTTCCCCCAACCCCCTTCCATTCCCCTATCCCACTAGTCCGTACCCCCATCCCCCTTTCCGCCCCCGCATCACCCATCCCTTGCCCGGCATCCCCCTTTCCTTCCCTCGTTCCACTTCCCTGTCCCCATCTCCCATTGCCTTCCGCGCAATCCCCTGTCCTTCACCCATTCCCCTGTCCTTCACCCATTTCCTTGTCCTTCACCCATCCCCCTGTCCTTCGCCCATTCCCCTGTCCTTCACCCATCCCCCTGTCCTTCGCCCATTCCCCTGTCCTTCACCCATCCCCCTGTCCTTCGCCCATTCCCCTGTCCTTCACCCATCCCCCTGTCCTTCCCCATCCCCCTTCCCCCCTCCTCCCCAATCCCCCACCCTGTCCTTCCCCCATCCCCCTGTCCGTCCCGCATTCCCCATGCAGTGCGCACCTCTTGAGTGAAAGTTTGAACGGCGACGGTGGCGCGCTTGACGGCCCAGTGCACGTGGGGGTTGGTGGGGTCCACGGCACTGTACACGGTACCAAAGCCCCCCCTGCCTATGATGCGCTCCTCCGCCCAGTTGTCCGTGGCCTGCAAGAGCACCGCCAAGGGGTACTCCGGGCACTGCAACGCCCCGCCTGCCCCCGCTCGTACAGACTGGTTCGACGGCCCTGCTGCACCAACACCAGCACCAGCACCAGCAGCACCAGCAGCACCAGCAGCACCAGCACCAGCACCAGCACCAGCACCAGCACCAGCACCAGCACCAGCACCAGCACCAGCACCAGCACCAGCACCAGCACCAGCAGCAGCACCAGCAGCAGCAGCACCAGCAGCAGCACCAGCAGCAGCACCAGCAGCAGCACCAGCACCAGCACCAGCAGCAGCAGCAGCAGCAGCAGCAGCACCAGCACCAGCAGCAGCACCAGCAGCAGCACCAGCACCAGCACCAGCACCAGCACCAGCACCAGCGGTGGCAGCATCTTCAGCCGGTGCTGGTTCTGCCTTGGATGGAACTTCTTTTGGGTCTGACAGTGGGTGGGGTGGGGAGGGGGGATTGGGAGAAAGGAGGGTAGGGTGGGAAGGGAGAGAGGAGAGGGTGGGAGCAAACATTAAGGTGAGACATTGAAGATGGGAGGCACGATGGAGGCATGATGCAGGAGTGACAGTGGGTTGGTTGGGAAGGGAAAGACAGAAAGAGTCGGTAGAAGAGAGAAGGCAGAAGGGGTTGGAAGTGCGTGTGGAACGAAGGCAGTGGCGTGGCGACCATACGTGCCATGGGTTGGGATCAACCCCGCACGGACAGGAAACTGCCTCGTACCTTCCAGTGACCTGAAGGGACTGTGCTTGTTGTGGCGGGAAGCGAGCAGGTAATAGAGGAGCGCAGCCACCAAGGCAACTCCCGCCACACACCCCACCACAATCCCCGCGATCGCTCCCGCTGAAAGAGCTGCGAGCATGGGGCGACGAAATTGAGGGGAGGAGTTGGTGAAACGCTAGCACCGCTCTGCTTGTGTGTGCATGCAACCTCACTGCGACTTCCCCACACATTGCTGCACTGCACCTAGCAGTCCCGCATGTGCAGCAAACACGCCAGCCTCACTGCACGCTGCGAGGAGCCACTGCTTGCCCGCCTTGACCCCTCAAAACAGCCGCGCTGGCTGCTGCCACTCACTACAAACCGACTCGAGAGACTATCACAGCCATCCTCTCTGCTCACGAGTAGCGCCATCATAGCCCCCACTGGTTGCACCACACACACGAGGATGATGTGGCGGGCGCAGGAGCAGGAGCGTAGAGGTACAGCGAGTTGTACTGCTGGAGCGCCTCCCGCCGCCACACATCCTCCTCGTAGTCCTCCGCGTACTCCTCCGTGTAGTCCTCCTCGCCGCTTGCTCCGCTTCCCCCTCCTCCCGTCGAGGGGACCTCACTTTGCGCTGCCGCGCGTGCCTCCGCCAGCCGAGCTGTCTCCCGCGCGGGGCCCTGGGCGCGACTGACGTGCGCGCGGGTGCTGGGGGGGAACAGAAGCCCGTCCGTCGCGTGCACTACGAAGCTCGTCGAGACTGCGGCGGCGTATTCCAATACAGGCACATCCGATACAGTGAAGCTCGCGTTACTATCCAGGTGTAGGACGAGGCTCTCGCCTTGCACGGTTCGCCAGGGCCCCTCCCACGCGAAGCGCGAGATCTTGTGGCGAACGAAATGGTACATCATGACTTGGCGGAGGGTCGCGACGTGGGACGGGTTCCGTAAGGTGGCGGCAAGCGCGGCGGGCAGCCTGACCAGCGACTCGTCGGACGGCGCGAAAACCGTGAACGGCGCGCCGTCGAGCACGCCGCTGATGGCGCTGCTGACAGCAGAAAGCTGCAGAAGCGCTTTAAAGCCAGAATGGCCCGACTGAGCGAGAGTATCGAGTAGGACCTGCCACGTCGCGCCGAACTCGTCGTGCGACGCTCCGCTTGCTGCCCGCGTCGTCGGGAGACAGACCACGCGCGCGGGCATGGCGCACGCTATGGTGAGAGCCACCAATGCGACGCCATGTGAGAGTCTCGCTCGGCCCGCCTGCGGAGGCGACATGGCCGCCAGCGAAGCTTTGAGCCGCCGTCGCGAGGGGCCGTGGAAGGGCCAGCAGCAGCGCGGGGAATCAGGATGACGGTGTTCTGCACGCCTCGATACGTAGGACAAACGGCGGCGAGGCTCCCATTTTCCGTCCAAACCTAATCGAAGGGAAATTGAAACGTTGCTGGCAGGGAGATAGTAGCCTTAGTAGGCTTGGAGAATGAGTATAGAGTGCTCTCTGGAATTTTCTGGAAATTGCATTATGACTTCACAAATTTCAGAGTACAATTTTATAGAGCACATTCAAACATCGAGTCGCACTCCCAAGTCGCGACTTTCTCTGAATTTCTCAATGGTAACCCAACCCTTTGAAATGAACCTGCCGTGAAATTCAGAGAATTATTGCGGTACGGGATTGGCCGGCGAGCTTGGTTACGGGGCTGTAATTTCGTCGGTGTTGTTGGCGAAGTCGGCGAGCGGTCGGAACTTTGGTGTCCTGCGTTTCGTAATTTTCGTGCGTGGGATTGACTTGGGCTGCGTGTCGGAATCTGGTCGCCCAGCTGCAGGTTGAGGCGTTTGACCAATCCGAACTGTAGGTGAGGTGGCGCTTGACTTCCGCCCACCTGCACTGTTCTTGGAAGTGTGTTGCTGCACTGTTACGAGTGACTTCCGCCCACCTGCATTGCAGTTGGCAGCATTCGGCTGCTGCACTGTTACAGAAATGGTTGCATGTTACGGGTGGAATGGAGGAAGGGAGGATTGCACTAGTACAAAATGTGACCGAAGGTAATGAGCGAACATTTATAAGCGAAACATGCAAACGGTAACGCGGTGCGTGCGAGCTAGCTAGTGCTACGCTGGCAGCGAAATTCGGGCTAGTCCCGAAGCGTAGGCCGACACGGCCGGGCCAGCAGTGCGTGGTTTGGCAAAACAGTGCGCGCGAAGTTGGCGAAGCCCCGTTAGCAGTAACGGGCGAACAACGGCTGTTGCTGTACGCGATGTAGCCAGACTTCGTAAGGAATGGCGAGAAAATTCGTTACACTACCCCCCCCCCAAGAAGCCCCCTCCGCTACGCGAGTGCTGCGGAGACTTACTCTACAACAGTAGTGGGCTAGACTACAGGGGTTGGCACGAACTACTAGGAGTGATCGTAGCTTTGCTTGGTTCCTTAGCACTTGCGCATTCACGGGAGAGATTGGCAAGAGTTTCCACTAGCCAGATCGAATTACAGAATCATTGAACAAGCAATGCCAGAATTGACTACATCAGGCACCTAGCAACTCTGGAGCTAGCCTTGACGACCGCCAGCACTCCATGGTCGACCGCCTGCCAGCGTTGCGTAGAGGAGCCGCGCCAGCACTGCAGAAGAGCGACCTGCCAACACTGCAGGTCGACGGCGTGCCAACGCTGCAGCTGTGCGGCTGTCCAGCGTTGCCCCGTAGAAGACAGCAGTGCGCACGCTCGCAGGTGCGCGCAGACGATTGGCCCGACTTGCCTTGTTGGGCATCCGTCGGCTGTTGTCTGCGCCTGACGAGCCACATCGACTTCGGGATACCAGCCCGCAGTCGCCTTCGCCATCGCGACCTCGACGACGTTCGCGTGCCTCCGCGGAACTCATCGAGCAGGTTA